CGGCTAAACCCAAATGATTCTAGTTCTAGGTATAGTGTTAGTTCTACATAGTAACAGTGCTAGTGCAAAACTAGAGCTAACACTATACCTAGAACTAGAATCACAGTAACAATACATAGTAACAGTGCTAGTGTAAAACTAGAACTAACACTGTACCTAGAACTAGAATCATTCGAGTTTAGCCGTCTTTAGAGACGTGCGGCTAAACTCAAATGATTCTAGTTCTAGGTATAGTGTTACTTCTACATAGTACCAGTGCTAGTGCAAAACTAGAGCCAACACTATACCTAGAACTAGAATCACAGTAACAATACATAGTAATTGTGCTAGTGTAAAACTAGAACTAACACTATACCTAGAACTAGAATCATTTGGGTTTAGCCGTCTTTAGAGACGTGGTGCTAAACCCAAATTATTCTAGTTCTAGATATAGTGTTAGTTCTACATAGTAACAGTGCTAGTGTAAAACTAGAACTAACACTAGACCTAGAACTAGAAACATTCGGGTTTAGCCGTTTTAAGAGATGTACGGCTAAATCCGAATGTTTCTAGTTCCATAAATAATAAGTTCCATATAACCAATACTCAACGGACCTTGGCACAGATAACCAGAAGTGACACTAACGGCATCCCGCCAAATCTTTACCACCAATAGCAACATACCTTGGTAACTCGCTATAATATGGCGTCAGATTTGGTGGGATACTGCCACTGTCCCTGGTTATTCTGTGGTTGCACCTCCTTTCACTAATTGCATATTTCTCACATGAACAGCAGAACAACCAACTTAATCCTACCGTGTCATTACGGGATAATCTTTGAGGAAGAACCTTGCGTTCTTTTTTGTTGGATATATTGCTTTAAGATTAAGATAGACTTCGACTCTTTGTTTAAATTGCTTCGTTGTGTCCGACTGTGACAGCAATATTATAATTTCCAGTGCTGTATTTATTATTTTGTCTCAAAGACTCAAAAAGGAAAGAAGGAAGAATCGTTGGTGGGTAACAAATTTAATGCAGTCAAGGATACTGGATAATGTAGGTGAAATGATGACGAATATGCAAGAACAAGAAGAAAGTGGTCAATTCCAAAATTTTTGTAGAATGGCGTCAGAGGATTTTGACCATTTATTATCTCTGATCACCAAAAAAATTCCTGCATATGCCAGACTAGCAGTAATTTTAAGATTTTTGCAACTGAAGACTCCTCTGAAAGCCTGATGTATTTTACTAAAATATCTAAATCCACAATATGTATAATAATATTATATATTAATTATTTGATGAAACAGAAAGCTATATAATTCACCGGGCATATGTGAATCGTACATACTTTACAATATGAAAATATACGGCAAGAATTTTCAGACTATTTTAATTTCACTGATATTTTGCAAAACAATATTGCATAATTGCATAACCAATTTCCATGAACACCTTTTCTGAAATTGTTATAAATGTACCTATCATTTAATATAATAAATGGTATATACTAAAATAATAAAATACATGATAGAAATTTATTCAAATTGATGGTAATTTAGAAATAATCGTAGTTATTACTCAATTTCATGTAATTCTTTTTCAAATTAATAATTTAAAGTAATCCGGATATAAAAGGATATGTATCAAAAAAAAATTGTGATAAAAATGTTACCGAAAAACGATATTTTACAAATTGGTTTAACCATGTGGAGTTTATTGGGAGAAAGTATTCATAAAACACCTAAATGGTTAATTTTTTATCGTATCTTTAACGGAATAATTCTCGGCGAAGTAGTTTTATACACAACTTTAAATCTGTTGCACGTTGAAGGAGTTAAATTTGTTGACACGATTGCTAATATATCCAGTGCAATCCATGTGGGTATAAAAAAACTTTAATATTGTTTTAATCTTTTCGTTTTAGGTTTTTTTGAAATATTTCTTTTTTATGTATCACAAAAAGAACGTTTGTTATTTAATAAACCAACTTGAAAATTTTTGGGATCCGCCTAAATCTAATTTAAAATTGAAAAAATGGACTAGGAAATTGTATAAAGTTATTCGAATGGCACAAAAATGTTTTGTTCTTATCGTTGGGGTTCTTATAATTTTGTATTATTTAAAACCTATTTTTAATCATTCTAGTTTTCCTTTCGATGGGTATCCAATTACTTCTTCGTTATTTTCTGAGATTTTCGCATTATTTTCTTTGTATCATTTTTTTCCTATCGGATTATTTTGCATAATGGGTTATGATTGTCTTTATGTGTCATTTTGTATTCATTTAATAATCCAATTTCGTATTTTAAATCATAGAATGAAATCAATTGGGGTGAATAAACATCAAATAATAAAAGATGAAATTAAAATGTGTGTTAATTACCAAAATTTTTTACTAAAGTAAGTATTATTTGTAATATTTACGTTATTTTGTTTACATTTTGTTTCAGGATTTTTAGGATAATAAACGAAACTTATTCAGCAATGTTTATGTGCCAATACTTCATGACTTTGGGATCGGCTTGCAGCCAATTATATCTTTTAAAAATTAGTACAAACGGAGTTGATTCGATGAAAGCCATCTTAACATTAGCAGTGATTTTTGCGCAATTTGCAATTTATGCTTTACCGGCTGAACAAATTGTAACGGAAATTTACAATTTAGCTTTTGCTTTATACTCGTCATCGTGGCAAGAAATTCCATTAAACTATCAAAAAGATGTTATAATTATGATAATGAAAAGTCAAAATCAAGGATATATAAGTATCGGGGGATTATTTGATATGAATATAAAAACATTTGTTTCTGTAAGATGAATAATTTAAGTTGATGGTGTTTATAATTTATTTTTTTTGTTTTAGGTTTTTAGAAAAGGATTTTCTTTTTATTGTTTGTTAGATAACTTAATTAACAAATGATGAATGTTTAAAAACATTAATGCAGTATTGCAAACTTCAAAAAAAAAATAGTGTAGTTTTTACTCTCGGCATCACGTTGAATAGTCTGTTATTAGTACCTTAATAACTCCTCAGAATCACCGAACACATAATAAGCAAAGCAAACATATTCAACCACAGGGGCGGTATCTTTTTAGATATAGAAAAGGCCTTTGACAACAAAACTAATTAAAGTAGTAAATACATACTTACACAAATAAACGCTGGGGTCCACCAGGACTCTGTACTAGGAGCACTGCTCTTTAACATATATATATCAGACATACCGACAAAACCACCATAGGACAATTCGCAGACGACACAGCAATCTTTACTTTAGGAAGGATGAAATTGGCAATAGTTAATAAACTCCAACAAACAACAGACCAAGTAATAAATTATATGGAAAATAAAAGTCAACGAAGACAAGCCAGAAACAGTAATGTTCGTGCATAAACAAGACCACAACCCCACTCTCGAAAATGTCAATATCAAGAACGAGGAAATAGAATGGAAAAAAGAGGTTAGTTATCTAGGAATGACACTAGACAAGAAATTAAACATGAACAGCCATGCAGACCAAACCAGAAGAAAAATAGCAGCCATAACAGCAAAACTGTACCCTATCATCAACAAAAAACTAAAAAAAACTAACTAAACCTAAACAACAAAATAAACATCTACAAATCACTAATAATGCCGATAGCCGACGGTGCACTATGGAACATCACTAGTAATCCAGCTAAGAAGAGATTACAACAAAAACTAAATAGCACACTACGTCTAATAACAAACCGAGAAAAACACGTAACAAACGATCTACTAAGAATCGAAACAAATACAAAAACTCTAGAGGACATAATACAAAAAGCAACTGACAAAAAAATAACAAAAAGCACAGAGTCAAAGTCCATTGAGTAAACGTACTGTATAAGTATAAGGTAAAAATTAATTATATTGTACTTCTCGGTGATATACTTTATTCACTCCACCGGTTTCGATACTTATAGTATCATCCTCAGGAGATCCTAAGAACTTACGTTCTTTAATTAATTTTTACCTTATACATTTTTGGGTGATAAAACCGAAGAAAATTTCCTTCTATATACTGTATAAGGTTATTCAACTCCCTATGAACCATTGAGGTCTTATATATAATCTAGAGAGCGTATGTGGTGGTGGTGGGGGTAATCAGAAAGTCAGACATGTTGGATGTACCGAGCTATAGTTTCAAGTCTCTATTGTACAGTCATGTTCACGGGAAATGCACACTCAAGGTCAAGCGTTATTGTGAGATCGGACATGCCGCTGGCTAAACGGGCTGAGCCGAACGCCCACGAGCCACTACGAAACTAGTCGGGTTTAGCCGTCTTTAGAGATGTGGTGCTAAACCCAAATGATTCTACTTCTAGGTATAGTGTTAATTCCACATAATAACAGTGCTAGTGTAAAACTAGAACCTTTGACAAAGTTTGGCACCCCGGCCTAATACATAAAATGAGAGTAGCAAAATTTCCAACAAAACTAATTAAAATAGTAAAATCATACTTAAACAAAAGGAAATTTCAATTCAAATTGAAAAACGCAATATCGGAAAAAACGGAAATATACGCAGGGGTCCCTCAGGGCTCAGTACAAGTACCAGTGTTCTTCAACATATACATATCAGACATACCGACAAAACCACCATAGCACAATTTGCAGACGACACAACAATATTTACTTAACTTAGGATGAAATCAGTAATAGTTAAAAAAACTCCAACAAACAACAGACCAAGTAATAAATTATATGGAAAAATGCACCACTCTCGAAAAAGTCAAAATCAAGCACAAGGAAATAGAATGGAAAAAAGAGGGCAAATATAGTAGCTAGTAATCCAGCTAAGAAGAGATTATAACAAAAACTAAACAGCACCAGAGAACATAATACAAAAAGAAACTGACAAACAAATAACGAAAAGCACAGAATCAAGGTCCGTGGAGTAAGAGCTTGCAATACCGGGATCCCGAACAATTTTGTCCAGTATTAAAAACCGGTATTGATGGCAAAATACCGGTATTTCGGTATTATTTTTATTTAGCGCCCTCGATAGCCTGCCGAGGGTCGTGCTAGTTTGAATTTGTGCTGGAAAATGACGTAGAGGATTCTTGTTTGTTATTTATCTTCTATCCATTCTAAGTTTACATTTTCAAGTGACATTTTTTGACGTTGCATTAAAAAAATGCCAGCCGGAGGCCTCCAATCAAAAACGGCCGTGCTTGTTTAAAGCTGTGCTGGAAAATGATGTTGACCAAACAGAAATTTGTTATCTATCTTATGTCCGTACTAATCTCATTTTTTGATCAGTGTGAATACCATCTACAAGAAATATCATTTTACACTTTGACAGAATGTTGAAAATAACGAAAACTCAACCTTTGATGACGATAACTTAATGTTCGTGTTCAATAAATTTGTCATACCTAGCTAACAATAAAATACTCTCTGCATACAATTATTTTTGGAGATTTTATTCTATAATGTAGTATAACAGTAATATGATAAGTCTGACAAACTACCAAGAGCCATTATGTTAAAGTTTCTTTCTTGAATCTGCACCTTTCCAGAAAATTCCAAAGCAGGAATTCGAAAGAAGAGCTTCAGATGATGAAGTGTAATTTTATTTTTTTACGCGGCAGTGAAGTTGAACCTTTGGTCCAAGTGAAAGACAACAAAACAATAATGGTATCCAGACCTTTAAGTTTATTGGTACTTTGTATAGATTCGTAATATCTTTCCATTTTTTGATTATCTTCTCAGATACTGTATCTTATGCTTTGTTGCCAATCTAAAAATATAGTAGGAATTAAGGGAAAAAAATCTTACAATTAGGATATATCTAGTGATTGTATTATCTAGTAATTTAGTGTGTAAACTTTTTTATAGTAATACCGGTATTAATATCGGTATCCCGGTTTTAAAAATTTTGAATATCGAATACCGGTATTGAGATTTTGGTCCGGTATTTGCAAGCCTTAAATATACTGTATAAGGTTATCCAACTCCCTAAGAACGCTGTTGTTATAAATGCATCCGTCTTTAGAGACTTGTGGCTAAACCCAAATGTTTCTAATTAATTAAGTTGATTGCTACAAAATCAGCATTACATTCCACAAACAATTAAATTTTAACAATACTACAATTACATATATCACATTACAATACAATACATTTTATTTCCTATCCCACCCCTCCCCATCTCCTCCCCGCATCTCCCTACGCTGCCTTGTCGCCACCACCTCCCTCATCCATTCTCTTCCCTCTGCCCTCTCCCCCAGCACCTGCTTCCAGCCGATCACCTCCTCTCTTAGCTCGTCACACTCCCTCAGTAGGTGCTCCAACGACTCCCACTCCCCCCCACATAGCCTACAACCCCTCTCATCATCTCTCATCCAATACCTATTCGCTCTCTCCTCATTGCCGCATCTGAATCTTGCCACCATCCTCTTCCCCTCCTCATCCCCCTCCACCGACAGGTACTTCGGCAATCCCTCCGTTATTATTTCCTCGTACTTAGGGTTGTACCTGCTCTCCCTTATCTGCCCCCTTCTTTCTTGCCTCTGTACATCTCTATCCCTGCTCTCCAGCTCTTTCCACATCTCAATCCCTTCCCTCCTTCTATCATCTACCGCTTTCACTGAGTACCCCACCCTTCTGAAATATTCCTCCCTTCCTCGTTGCCCGTAACCCCCTTTCCCTGCCTTAATCTCTTTCCAGCACTCCCCCAAAATTTTACATTGAGACCTCCCTTCAACCCTCTCCTCAAAACGCACCGCCCTTTTACCCGCCTCCACCCAAATGTTTCTATTTCTAGGTCTAATGTTAGTTCTAGTGACAGTGCAAGTGTAAAACTAGAACTAACACTATACCTAGAACTAGAATCATTCGGGTTTAGTTGTCTTTAGAGACGTGCGGCTAAACCCAAATGATTCTAGTTCTAGGTATAGTGTTAGTTCTACATAGTAGCAGTTCTAGTTTTAATTGTTATTAAGCGCTGGATTGTTGTATATTTTTATTGAAGTAGTTGAAAGGTTAAATATACTGTATAAGGTTATCCAACTCCCTAAGGACGCTGTTGTTATGAACCCATCCGTCTTTAGAGGCGTGTGGCTAAACCCAAATGTTTCTATTTCTAGGTCTAGTGTTAGTTCTAGTTTTACAGTAGCACTATCACTAGAACTAACACTATACCTAGAACTAGAATCATTCGGGTTTAGCCGTCTTTAGAGACGTGTGGCTAAACCCAAATGATTCTAGTTGTAAGTATAGTGTTAATTCTACATAGTAACAGTGCTAGTGTAAAACTAGAACTAACACAAGACCTAGAACTAGAAACATTTGGGTTTAGCCGCACGTCTCTCAAGACGGCTAAACCCAAATGATTCTAGTTCTAGGGCTTGTGTTAGTTCTAATGATAGTGCTAGTGTAAAACTAGAATTAACACTAGGCCTAGAACTAGAAACATTTGGGTTTAGCCGTGCGTCTTCAGACTTCAGACGAAACTTTCTAGTTCTAGGTCTAGTGTTAGTTCTAGTTTTAATTGTTATTAAGCGCTGGATTGTTGTATATTTTTATTGAAGTAGTTGAAAAGTTAAATATACGTATTAGAATGTATTATGTACCATATACATATTAAATTATATAATAGGTGGACATAATTAAAATAACAAACCACACCAACATCGAAGCAAGAAGAACATCACAAACAAAACTAAGAAAAACAGATAAGAGAGTGTTATTTAAAAACAACAAGTTTTTAATTGATTTATTAAACCATACTACACTTAATATTGTCTATATTTATTTATTAATTTGTTCATATGGTCGTAAACAAGTTCTTTTGCGTTAATACCCCACATAAAATCTAAATGATTAAAATTTCTAAACGGAACTCGAAATAATCCGACAACATTCGGTAATTTTTCAGCTAAAAACACACAATCTTCTTTGGCCACAATATAATCCCCATCGCCGTAATAAATCGCCATCGGTGCTACGTTTTTCGTTAAATCATATTCCGGGGGTTTCGTAGAATTATAAAGAATTTGATTCGTTTCGTTTCCATAATCGTATGGTTTAAATTCACCCGTTGTGTACATTTGTTGTAGATGAAGAATCGATTGAATTGATGTCCCATCCGGAAAATATTTAAAAATATTTGGAAAATTATCCTAAAATAAATTCAACAATACATCAATTTAATAAAACAACAACAAAATTACCGTGTTAAATTGTTCATAATCAAATCCCATAGCTAAAAACGCTATCATTACACACAACCGTTGCGTTCTTGAGCCATTTTGACAAAAAGCTGTTAAAATTTCTTCTCGAGTTTTAGTTCGTGGAAATAATTCGTAAATATTATAATTGTTCATAATGTTTTCCGCAAGAACAGGAATTAAATTAAAAACCATTTGTAGTTGAGGCATCAACTGGTGCATCACATAAACACTCGGTGCTAAATTAATAAATAATTTAATTTTCTGATTATACTCTGGTCTTCGGGATAACATGATTTGACCAACACCGGCACCCATTGAATATCCGATTAAGATTAAACCATCTTGGCCGGTTTTCTCTAATATAAAATCAACAGAATTCGGTAAATCGTGTAAACCGGAATCGTCTAAAGTGAAATTCCAAAACTCTTTATCAACGTCCGGATTTAAAGTGACGTGATTTCTTGAGTATGTGTTACCTCGATTGTTGATGAACCAAAAATCATAACCTGAATCGGTGAATAAGTAAGCTGTAAAGTTTTATGGTTATATTAGAAAGTTATTTTTTTCTTTAAGATTTGAAAAGTTTTTTACGCATATCATGTTGAGGTCCTCGAAATAAAAATAATTCTGGTGAACCACAAAAACCCGGATGTAACAATACCACCTGTCTTTTTCTTCCGGTTCGTTTTCTTCCATAAGGTATCCTATGTAAAGTAATAATGTAACCTTGCGTCGTTGTAATTTGATAAGCTTCAAGTGGATAACCATATTTATTAACTAATTCTTTCTAAAATAAAAAAAAAAACTAATATTAAAACAACTTTACATTTTTATACTTTCAAGGTAAATATCTCAAGAACTCACTTAAACTTTTTTCTTTAAGAATGATAATGAATAAAGTGAATTAAAATGTTAATTTTATGAGGTACACATTTATTTCGCCATCTTAAGAAGATATTTTTTAGAAATCTAAGAATTTTTTTGGTAGAAAATTAAATTTAGAATAGAAATTAAAATATGACATTTTTAAATCGATCAATGTATTTTTTTGCAAAAATTAAGACGTTCAAAGCAAATATTGTTGCCTTGAAAATCAATGTTTTTTTTATAGATGGAAAAAACAGCTGGTGAAAAATGAAAAAATATTCACAATTGCACAAGCTCTCTGCCTAATCTAACTTTTTGCCTTTTAATGACTACTCAATCTTTTCATGGTATTACCAGTTTCTTTGTCACAAGTCTCATTTCAGTCTTCCTTTTCTCTGCCCAGTCTTAGATTTACTTTTTCAATCTCTATTTTATCTTTTCTTTCTATTACCAGTACTTTTCTTCCTATGCCAGTGATTGTTCAATTTGTTTCGAAACGGCCTGGTAATAGAAAAAAGAAACTGGATCAACAACATAGGGACTGCAGAGAGACCAAAAATAAAAGAAACAGATCGAACAGAGACTGAAATGAGAAGAAGAAGACTGGTGATAGAAAGAAAAGATGGAATAGACATTGGAAAAGGAAAAGTAGAACCAGGTAGAGAGAAGGAAGAGTGGAATGAGACTCTTACTAGAAAAGAGAGACTGGATAGAAAACATAGGGACTTCAAAGAGACCAGAAATAGAAGAAACAGATCNTGATAAGCTTCAAGTGGATAACCATATTTATTAACTAATTCTTTCTAAAATAAAAAAAAAGAAACTAATATTAAAACAACTTTACATTTTTATACTTTCAAGGTACACATCTCAAGATCTCAGTTAAACTTTTTTTCTTTAAGGATGATCATGAATAAAATGAATAAAAATGTTAATTATATGTTAATTGTATGTTAATTATATATATTAATACGTTTATTTCGCCATTAAGATGATATTTTTTAGAAATCTAAGAATTTTTTTGGTAGAAAATTAAGTTTAGAATTGACATTAAAGTATGACATTTTATCCCATTGGATTTCGTTCTTGAAATATTCTATTCTCAATCGATCAATGTATTTTTTGCAAAAATTAAGACTTTCAATGCAAATCTTGTTTTTTTATAGCTGGAAACCACAGCTGGTGAAAAATGAAACGATATTCATAATTGCACAAGCTCTCTACCTAATCTCAATGACACATTGTCTTGATCTGCTTAATCTACCTTTTTGTCTTTTAATGACAACTCAGTCTTTTCCTTGTATTACCAGTCCTTTATCTCTGCCCAATCTTACATTTACTTTTTCAATATCTATTGTATCTTTTCTTTCTATTACCAGTATTTTTCTTCCCATACCAGTCACTGTTCAATTTGTTTCGAAACGGCCTGGTAATACAAAAAAGAGACTGAACCAACAGCATAGAGACTGCAGAGAGACCAGAAATAAAAGAAATAGAGACTGGAATGAGAAGAAGAAGACTGGTAATAGAAAGAAAAGATGGAATAGACATTGAAAAAGGAAAAGTAAAACTAAGTAGAGAGAAGGAAGACTGGAATGAGGCTCTTAATTGAAAAGAGAGACTGGATAGAAAACATAGGGACTTCAAAGAGACCACAAATAGAAAAAACAGATCAAACAGAGACCAGAATGGGAAGAAAAATATTGATAATGAGAAAAATGATACTGGGCAGACGAGGGAAATTGGAAAGAGATAGCTAATAGAAGAAAGGCGCTAGACAGACAGAATAGGGACTGCAAAGAGACTGAAATGAGAAGATAGAGACTGCCAATAAAAGGAAGACATTGAATAGACAATGAAAAGAAAAAAGTGAGCAAAACTAGAAACGGCCTGGTAATAGAAAAAGGAAACTGAATTTACAACGTAGGGACTGCAGATAGACCAAAAATAAAAGAAACAGATCGAACAGGGACTGAAATGAGAAGAAAAATACTGGTAATAGAAAGAAAAGATGGAATAGACATTGGAAAAGAAAAAGTAAAACTAGGTAGAGAGAAGGAAGACTGGAATGAGACTCTTACTAGAAAAGAGAGACTGGATAGAAAACATAGGGACTTCAAAGAGACCAGAAATAGAAGAAACAGATCAAACAGAGACTAGAATGGGAAGAAAAATACTGATAATGAGAAAACTGATATTGGGCAGACGAGGGAAATTGGAAAGAGACAGCTAATAGAAGAAATGGGCTAGACAGACAGCATAAGGACTACAAAGAGACTGGAATGAGAAGATAGAGACTGGTAATGAAAGAAAGACATTGAATAGAAAATGAAAAGAAAAAATGAGCCTGGATAGAGACGAGAGAAACTAGAAACGGCCTGGTAATAGAAATAAGAAGCTGTATCAACAACATAGGGATTGCAGAGAGACCAAAAATAAAAGAAACAGATCGAACAGAGACTGAAATGAGAAGAAGAAAACTAGTAATAGAAAGAAAACATGGAATAGACATTGNATCGAACAGGGACTGAAATGAGAAGAAAAAGACTGGTAATAGAAAGAAAAGATGGAATAGACATTGGAAAAGAAAAAGTAAAACTAGGTAGAGAGAAGGAAGACTGGAATGAGACTCTTACTAGAAAAGAGAGACTGGATAGAAAACATAGGGACTGCAAAGAGACCAGAAATAGAGGAAACAGATCAAACAGAGACTAGAATGGGAAGCAAAATACTGATAATGAAAAAAATGATACTGGGCAGACGAGGGAAATTGGAAAGAGATAGCTAATAGAAGAAAGGGGCTAGGCAGACAGAATAGGGACTACAAAGAGACTGAAATGAGAAGATAGAGACTGCTAATAAAAGGAAGACATTGAATAGGCAATGAAAAGAAAAAAGTGAGCGAAACTAGAAACGGCCTGGTAATAGAAAAAAGAAACTGTATCAACAACATAGGGACTGCAGAGAGACCAAAAATAAAAGAAACAGATCGAACAGAGACTGAAATGAGATGAAGAAGACTGGTAATAGAAAGAAAAGATGGAATAGACATTGGAAAAGGAAAAGTAAAACTAGGTAGAGAGAAGGAAGACTGGAATGAGACTCTTACTAAAAAAGAGAGACTGGATAGAAAACATAGGGACTTCAAAGAGACCAGAAATAGAAGAAACAGATCTAACAGAGACTAGAATGGGAAGAAAAATACTGATAATGAGAAAACTGATATTGGGCAGACGAGGGAAATTGGAAAGAGACAGCTAATAGAAGAAATGGGCTAGACAGACAGCATAAGGACTACAAAGAGACTGGAATGAGAAGATAAAGACTGGTAATGAAAGAAAGACATTGAATAGAAAATGAAAAGAAAAAATGAGCCTGGATAGAGACGAGAGAAACTAGAAACGGCCTGGTAATAGAAATAAGAAGCTGTATCAACAACATAGGGATTGCAGAGAGACCAAAAATAAAAGAAACAGATCGAACAGAGACTGAAATGAGAAGAAGAAAACTAGTAATAGAAAGAAAACATGGAATAGACATTGGAAAAGTAAAAGTAAAACTAGGTAGAGAGAAAGAAGACTGGAATGAGACTCTTACTAGAAAAGAGAGACTGGATAGAAAACATAGGGACTTCAAAGAGACCAGAAATAGAAGAAACAGATCAAACAGAGACTAGAATGGGAAGAAAAATACTGATAATGAGAAAACTGATATTGCGCAGACGAGGGAAATTGTAAAGAGACAGCTAATAAAAGAAAGGGGCTAGACTGACAGCATAGGGACTGCAAAGAGAGTGGAATGAGAAGATAGAAACTGGTAATGAAAGAAAGACATTGAATAGAAAATGAAAAGAAAAAAAAATGAGCCTGGATAGAGACGAGAGAAACTAGAAACGGCCTGGTAATAGAAAAAAGAAACTGTATCAACAACATAGGGACTGCAGAGAGACCAAAAATAAAAGAAACAGATCGAACAGAGACTGAAATGAGAAGAAAAAGACTGGTAATAGAAAGAAAAGATGGAATAGACATTGGAAAAGAAAAAGTAAAACTAGGTAGAGAGAAGGAAGACTGGAATGAGACTTTTACTAGAAAAGAGAGACTGGATAGAAAACATAGGGACTTCAAAGAGACCAGAAATAGAGGAAACAGATCAAATAGAGACTAGAATGGGAAGCAAAATACTGATAATGAGAAAAATGATACTGGACAGACGAGGGAAATTGGAAAGAGATAGCTAATAGAAGAAAGGGGCTAGGCAGACATCATAGGGACTGCAAAGAGACTGAAATGAGAAGATAGAGACCGGTAATGAAAGAAAGACATTGAATAGAACGTGAAAAGAAAATAATGAGCCTGGATAGAGACGAGAGAAACTAGAAACGGCCTGGTAATAGAAAAAATAAACTGGATTTACAACATAGGGACTGCAGAAAGACCAAAAATAAAAGAAACAGATCGATCAGAGACTGGAATGAGAAGAAGAAGACTGGTAATAGAAAGAAAAGATGGAATGGACATTGGAAAAGGAAAAGTAAAACTAGGTAGAGGGAAAGAAGACTGGATGAGACATTTATTAGAAAAGAGAGACTGGATAGAAAACATATGGACTTCAAAGAGATCAGAAATAGAAGAATCAGATCAAACAGAGACTAGAATGGGAAAAAAACTGATAATGAGAAAAATGATACTGGGCAGACGAGTGAATTGGAATAGGGGCTACAAAGAGACTGGAATGAAAAGAAAGACATTGAATAGACAATGAACTGAAAAAATGAACCTGGTTAGAGTCTCTCTAGTCTCTCTTTGATCTGTTTCTTCTATTCCTGATCTCTTTGAAGTCCCTATGCTTTATATTCAGTCTCTTTCTTCTATCAACAGTCGCATTCCAGTCTTCTTTCTCTCTGCTTAGTCTTACTTTTTCTTTTCCAATGTCTATTCTATCTTTTCTTTCTATTACCAGTCCTTTTCTCCTCATTCCAGTCTCTTTGCAGTCCCTATGCTGTCTGTCTAGCCATTTTTTTTCTATTCTTTATCTCTTTCCAGTTTCCCTCGTCTCTGTCCAGCATCATTTTTCTCATTATCAGTTTTTTTCCCATTCTAGTCTCTGTTTAATCTGTTTCTTCTATTCTTGGTCCCTTTGAAGTCCTGATACTCTATGTACAGTTTCTTTCTTCTATTAACAGTCTCATTCCAGTCTTCTTTCTCTCTGCTTAATCTTACTTCAATGTCTATTCTATCTTTTCTTTTTATAACCAGTTTTTTTCTTCTCATTCCAGTCTCTGTTCGATCTGTTTCTTTTATTTCTGGTCTCTTTGCTGTCTCTATGCTATCTATTCAGTTTCTTTTTTATATTACCAGGCTGTTTCTAATTTCTCTCGTCTCTATCCAGGTTCATTTTTTTCTTTTCATTGTCTATTCAATATCTTCTTTTTATTATAGTCCCTATGCTGTTTGTCTAGCCCTTTTCTTCTATTAGCTGTCTCTTTCCAGTTTCCCTCGTCTCTGCCCAGCATCATTTTTCTCATTATCAGTTTTTTCCTTAAGTCTCTTTCTTCTATTAACAGTCTTATTCCAGTCTTCTTTGTCTCAGTCTTTCTTTTTTTATTACCATGCCGTTTTTTGTTTCCCTCGTCTCTATCCAGGTTCATTTTTTCATTTCATTGTCTATTCAACGTCTTTCTTTCATTACCGGTCTCTATCTTCTCACTCCAGTTTCTTTGCAGTCATTCTTTGAATACTCTCTGTTCAGTCTCTTTATTCTATTACCAGTCTCATTCTAATCTTCCTTGTCTTCCTTCAGTCTCCTAAAATTATTTAATGGATGTTTCGGGATGTTTCCAGTTTTGTTTCTACTTCTAATGAAAATGTTCTAATTCGCAACAAATTTATACTTCAAGAAATAAAAATGTTTAAAGTAACTCTTTAAAACAAATATTTAAAGAGAATTGTTGAAACATTTTCCTCCCGGATCTTCTTCTTTATTTNGGATGTTTCTACTTTTATTTCTATTTTCAATGAAAATGTTCTAATTTGCAGAAAAAATTAGACTTCAAGAAATAAAAATGTTTAAAGTAACTCTTTAAAACAAATATTTAAAGAGAATTGTTGAAACATTTTCCTCCCGGATCTTCTTCTTTATTTTCTATTGATATCGTTTCAATACGAAGAAATCAAAATACACTTTCTTTGCTTATACAGCAGAAAATGTGGGTTACGATGAGACGACCCGGGTTCTCTGAGTCTCGATTTCGGCTCGTAAAAATTCCAAGAATTTGAGCTCATCACGCAGAATACTCGAAGCGATTACTCATGCGTAACAGCACATGTCTTATCGTTCACTTCTTGTATTATAACTGTATGACACGCCATATGTCGTTTCGTTTCGTTCTTTTTCTTCCGTTGTCTTCGAATATCCAAACGTTTCATTTCACCAAACGTGGATGTCACTGTAACCTGAATTTCCAACGATGGGTTACCAATTGTCCCCATTCGATTTTTAACAAAGAATGTCACACGATATAATATGGTAATAACGAATGAGAACTTTTATTATACATATTTGAACATCCTATATTCAAGGGGAAACATTAAAAATTTAACGAGGCAAATGTTTAAGTAAGAAAATTAAATATTGATTTCGTTTTACCAATTAATTAAAGTTCGTTTGGTTTCTCGCTAAGTTTTATAATTATACTTCCTGGTTAATTTTATTTAATTAATTAATCAAATTTTTTTTTGTTTTTATAAAACGTTCACGTATTCATTCCAAATTTATTCAAAACCTCGATGTATGTCAGCTAACTGAAAACCAGTACAGCTCAAGATTTTGCGATTAAGCCCACTTCTTATTTTCTTTGTTATTTATTTATAAAGTTTTGTTATTTATTTATAAATCTTACCACTGCATCGAGGGATGTTGAATTTTTGTAATCTTCTTGGTTTCTTAATGTTTCTAAAGATTTCAGCCGCGGTCCAATCGTCAACTCGAGTAGATAGGAACTGAAGGAAACGGTACCACGAACCATCATCACCAATAGAAGAACGAAACGGAGCCAGCAAAGTGGTGACATCGTCGGGAACGAGAAGTAACGGTTCGGCGCGGTATTAAAGAGTCCGGAATAAACGAGCGCGTGCAAGTTTTTAACTGGAGGAGGATCGCGATGAGATTCAATCCGGAGGTAACAACGACCCACCTACAAAATCCGGACGATATAATATAGGATTCGCGTCGGAAAAGTCCTTCAAGTATTGTTTATTGGTAACTACATTTTTAATCAAAATTAAAAATAATTAATTATAACGCGGAAGTTGCTAATTTTGAAAATTTCTTTTGGAAAGTTTTTGGTAAACAGTTTAAGGAAAGTGTCAATTTTCTATTTTTTATCACAATTATTAAACTATTAAAGAGGTGTTTCACTTTTAACAAGGTCTTTATGCCCTATCTATATGCCTACAAGTCATCTAAATCATATAATTAGTTTTTTAGAACTAAAAAAAAATGTATGGCACTGAAATAATTGGTAAACTATTAAAATAAAATTTGTTGAGATAAAATCACCTTGAAAAATAATAATCGATCTATTTAATTTATCAACTACTAGGAAGCGACAAATCATTTACATATTAAGAGTGTTATTTATTACAAGTCACTCACTTATATTAATTAAATAATTACACCACGAAATAAACATTTGTAAATATTTTTATTCGCATCAAGATGTTATGTAAAATATTAACGGTGTATGTGGAAATGGAATAAATTTATGGACACTAAAAACTCTCCGTAATAAATTTTAATTATATGTCAAAAATATTACAACAATAAAAAATAATAACTTATTATGAAATAAGTAAAAAGAAAGGGGACACCCGGGATTGAACCGGGGACCTCTCGATCTGCAGTCGAATGCTCTACCACTGAGCTATATCCCCTAGATATTATATAAACTGTTCACAGAGTACTCCAAGTATTAATTTTTTAATGTACAATAACTATAATTATAAGATAAAGCGTGAACAATAAATTTATATTAATATCTTAACCCATATCTTCCCAGTATTCCATTATTGGAACGGTTAACTTATTAAAATTTTTAACATATTTTCGAGAATGTTCATTATTTGTTCTTATACGTTGGTACTACCGGGATTGTTAGCTGTCAAATTCAATATTTGACGTTGTACGTTTCGCATCGACATTTGTAACAAAACAAGTATAAAAACCGAAAGTTTCCTTCAAAATATGGATCGCCGTAAAAAGTAAGTCTTTTCTATTTATATATAACAAATAAATCTGATACTGTCCCGTTTTTGGAACAGTAGGATAATATGCATGTGCGCTTAAGATAGGTGCTTCACTAATTTTTGAAGAAACTGCAGCTTTTACTCTAGTGTACTCGGATTCGAGAGTGGATTTGACAACTGATAACGAGAGGGTGGTTTATATGCGCATCTCATTGCTTTGAATACATCTAACCATACTTTTTTCGTTGTCATATCCAAGAGGGCTCCTGAGACATAAATAGCCTTTGCGAGTATTTCATCAATCTTATTGTTTTCTTGAGAGCTTTAGTAGTACTTGAAAATCAGCTAAAATCAACTAAAAAGAGGAGCCCTAGCCTGGTACACCGATGCTTCAAAGACAGTAAGATCTGGAGTAGGCATGGGCATCAGTGGACCAAATAGCCACATCAAATTGCCCCTCAGCTCAGACTTAACAATTTTCCAAGCAGAAGTTCTTGCTATAAACTTCTGCACCGCTTTGAACCTACAGGACAAAAAGGTGCATCCATAAACATTTTCACAGACAGTCGGGCCGCCTTAAAGGCAATTCAGGCCTACACGTGTGGCTCTGCACTGATCGGAGAGTGTACCAACAACCTGAGAGAACTCGCTAGGGGCAATGATGTTACCCTATGGTGGGTTCCAGGTCACAGCAACATTGAGGGCAATGAGAAGGCCGAGAAGCTGGCCAAAGAGGCAGCAAACACGCCCTTCATTGGACCCCAACCTGGATGTGGACTACAAAAAAGCCACCTAAAACAAATAATCTACAACTGGGAGGCTTCAAAGATAGCCTTACGCTGGAAAGAACTTCCAGGTCACAGACAAGCGAAGAGTATGATAATTTCGTCGCAAAACAAAACCAAAGAGGTTTTATGCCTCAGCAAAGGGGATCTAAGAACGCTTTCAGGCTACCTAACCGGCCATGTGCCCCTAAAATACCACCTCTTCCACATTGGACAAGCTGAGGATCAAACTTGTCGACTATGCAACGACGAGTCAGAAACTGCTGAACATATACTGTGCAATTGCGTCGCCAGAGGCCGTCTAAGGCACAACGTCTTCGGTAAAACTCCCCTGTTACCTACCGACATAAAGGTTCAAGACCTCAGGACAATACTAAGGTTCATTAAGGACCTACATTTGCCCTAAACCTTTGGAGGGCTAAAGTTACAATAGATCTTATAGGTCGCGGTAACGAGAGGAGCCGCTCTCCTCAGCCCGGCAGCAATAATAATAATAATAGTACTTGAAAATAAAGAACTAGCTGATGAAGGCACAGGCCTGACTAGTGAAGCAATTTCTGAGTCTAAAGATTCTCCCTGCCCCTGCTGAGAGGTAGTATCAGTATCATCAACATCACTATCTTCTAATACCTCGGTTAAACTTGGCGTGGTGTTATTGTTACTACTGGAAACATTTATTATAGGCAATTTCCCTTTTTTAAGAATTTGTACTACATTTTCAGGTATTTTGACACACTTTAGCAAATGTTGGAATTGTCTGGTAGCATTTCTTTTAAAGGAGGATTTACAATATTTACAGAAATTGTTGTCTTTGTCTTTAAGACTGTAGTACCTCCAAACATCACTTTTAACCATATTATCGCAACTACAAAATAAACATCATGCATTTCGGGAAGAGCTCAACTTAAAAATATCTAGACTTACCAGTTCAAATATCACATAACAAGGCAAAACAATTACAGTTATTTAATAGTTATAAGCAACACCTTTAAAGGTAATAAAGTTTTTAGTTTTTAATCCACAACTTTGCAGATAGTAGTTATAGTTTGGCTGTAGGTGTGGCTTGTATGACAGATAAGGTTGAAAGGTGTTGTTTCTAGCTATTCTCTGCAGTTATACTGCGCTATACACGCTGTGTGACTTAAATTTATAATATGCAATGTACAGGGTGTTCAAAATTTGTTATCCGCCTGAAACGATCTTGTTTTTCGAAAAAACTGCTAATGCCGAAAACCCCAAACAGCTATATGTTTTAAGATTGAAAAAAATGAGCAATGACTTCCAGAAAAGAAAGTTCAGTTAGGTTAGTTTTATTTACAAATGTCAATCAACTATGAGAAAATATTGGGTAATGTTAGGATGGGTCAGTTTTGTTTTGAAATCCTAATTATAGCGTGAAGGAATGTCGGCTTTCTTTTGAACCCTAATTATAGCGTGAAGGAATGTTAGGATAGGTCAGTTTTGTTTTGAAATCCTAATTATAGCGTGAAGGAATGTCGGCTTTCTTTTGAACCCTAATTATGCCGTGAAGGACACCCAATTATAGCGTGAAGGAATGTTAGGATAGGTCAGTTTTGTTTTGAAATCCTAATTATAGCGTAAAGGAATGTCGGCTTTCTTTTGAACCCTAATTAAACCGTGAAGGACACCCAATTATAGCGTGAAGGAATGTTAGGATAGGTCAGTTTTGTTTTGAAATCCTAATTATAGCAACAGGGCAGTGGGATAAAACATCGTCTCCTCCACTACCCCATTGAATTCTTTGCAAAAGATTCCCATACAATATTTTAATTATAACAGTCTATCTTTTCAGTTTCAGTATCTTAATTTTTCAGGTTTCGCCGATAGGATTTGCATATAGCCAAAAATAATTTTGAAGAAACTTCAGGAACTGGTTCGATGTGAAGAAGGTTGCTACATGGCATCCGAAACGTCAAACCTTTTCTTAAAAGACGCACGGTAAAACCTGAAAGTTTCTAGTGTTAGTTGAAGTTCAGATATGTTTACAGTTTTGGGTTTGCAGTTTGAACTAATATTTAGCTATCTGCTGCCTGTAGCCAAAAAGTATTGACATATACAGACTTACAGTATGAAATCTTACAACTTATAGTCTGTAGTTCGCTTTCATAACATTTATCTACATCTTTATTATGCATATTCTGTTCTATAATAAGAAGGGAGTAGCCATGGTAAGCATTCTGAAATTTGCAGATATAATTTGTAATCATCATGTATGTACAGACTTATACAGCGTGGTCCATTTAAAGTGAGACAAGCGATTATTTTGAAAACGGTTCATTTTACATAAAAATGAACCTAATGAAAGTTTGACCTCGTTTTCAAGGTCATATGAAGGTCACGACCTATTTTTTAAATAGCACCCTATGTTTTTGATTGCAAAATCTGAATCTATGGATAAAAGTAAAATAATTAAAAAAAAATATATATATATCTTGTGGTTTTGCCAGTAGGAAGGCGAAACATCTTTTGTAGACAAAATCTAAATAATGTTTTTAATCATATACTTATAATATTGTTTATTTATAAAAAAATAATTAAACTATACTATTAATCAGGTAATCTGGCAGGCCAGGAAATTGGACCTCCCCTTCCAATCCATCGCCCAGTATAATCCACTCTAAAGCTAAAGCTACACGTGCAATATACGAAAAATGTGCTGGACACCCATCATTTTGCAGCAACATATTTTATCTTTCTTCCTTGCTCAAATCTATAAGTAACGTTGTATGGTGTTGATTTATCACCAGTTATGCCACACCAAACATTAACCGACCAAGATCATTAATGATCTATTTCACGCAACCATCTCGGATTTTCAATGCTCCAATAGTGCATGTTATGTCTATTGACTTGTCCTTTGTTTGTAAAAGTAGACTCATCCGAGAATAGCACGTTACCAAAGAAATTGACAAAATATTAGTCGATTTTCAAAATCACCTCCATAAAGAGGTTGATCCAATGAAATGTGGTATAGATCTTGCGATTTAATATTCGTAAAATGTTGGTCTTCGATATTCCGGCATCAATTGCAAGTCGTCGAGTGCTAACTTGAAGATTTACCTCAACGCTAGCTAATAGCTAATTTCCTTTTCTTTCGTAGTTACGGTTGCTCGCCGAGTTCTTTTTCTTGATTCCACATTTCCAGTGTTAGTGAAATCATTCCAAGGCGTATTTCGATCAGGAAAACGTTCTTGATACAAAGCTGTATTATCAGCATAAATAAAAAGTATTTCGACTTTTTCTGCCACACTTAAAGTATCCATGATTTAATGACTTGGTTTAAACACTTTGTCTTAATGTAAAACGATGGAATGAATTCAGAATTTGTTGCCAAGCAGTTTTTATGCAAATTCAGTTACATTTAACATTTTAAAACAATTCAACCAATTAAGTGTCTAAAAGCGATATTCTGAAAATGCCGACATAAGCAGTTACACGAACTCTTGTTTTTTATGCGTTATTCTATTATCAAATTGACAAAGGCGGAGAAATGTTGGAAGACTTCTTTCCAAAGGTATTTCCGACGAGTCAGGTCACCTCTTTTGGATTTTTTTTGTTAAGCATTCTTAAATAGTAGTCTAAGAATTAAGAACTAAAGACAATGTATCGAAGCGGGTAAGATGATGTTTAAAAATTCATAAATCTTATTTGTTTTTGCTAGATTATAAACGTTAGTTAATTGTTTCTGAAGAAGCTTCAATTTTTTTCAAAAGATGTTTTGTTGTTGTAATGGCAAAACCACACAGTGAAATTTTTTTATTTTTTTTTAAATTAAGTACTTTACTTTTATCCGCAGATTCAGATTTTACAATAAAATATACAGGGTGGTTCAGTTTTTAATCGGGAAACTTTACTAGGATGTAGTACTTGCCAAAATAACACAAATTTTTTATATAAACATAGGGTCGCAATTCTTTTGTTTTCGAGCTATGAGCGATCAAAGTTGAGAAAAAAATTTACATTTTGTTTTGTATTTCGGCTGCAAGTAAACCGTAGANCGTTCTTGATACAAAGCTGTATTATCAGCATAAATAAAAAGTATTTCGACTTTTTCTGCCACACTTAGAGTATCCATGATTTAATGACTTGGTTTAAACACTTTGTCTTAATGTAAAACGATGGAATGAATTCAGAATTTGTTGCCAAGCAGTTTTTATGCAAATTTAGTTATATTATTCAACCAATTAAGTGTCTGAAAGCGATATTCTGAAAATACCGACATAAGCAGTTCCACGAACTCTTGTTTTTTATGCGCTATTCTATTATCAAATTGACAAAGGCGGAGAAATGTCGGAACCTTTTAGACTTCTTTCCAAAGGTATTTCCGACGAGTCAGGTCACCTCTTCTAGATTTTTTTTGTTATGCATTCTTAAATAGTATTCTAAGAATTAAGAACTAAAGAGAATGTATCGAAGCGGTTAAGATGATGCTTAAAAATTCATAAATCTTATTTGTTTTTGCTAGATTATAAACGTTAGTTAAATGTTTCTGAAGAAGCTTCAATTTTTTTCAAAAGATGTTTTATTGTTGTAATGGCAAAACCACACAGTAAAATTTTTTTATTTTTTTTTAAATTAAGTACTTACTTTACTTTTATCCGCAGATTCAGATTTTACAATAAAATATATATTATAGTGTGCCATTTAAAAAATTAATATTTATTTGGTTGTTTCTTTCCATCTCAAATTTAATGTAAATGCAATAAAACGTATGTATTTATAGATGGATTCTTTTAATTTTAGCTCTACCGGTTTCGATCAATACATTTAATCATCTTCAGGAGCAACGTAATGTAATATAAATTAAAATCATTTACCAAAATTAACAACATTCACAAATTTCTGTTACTATCGTTACATTATGAACAAAATAAAATTAAACTCACGTCAGTAAATATATTTTCAAAAGACATATTTGACTCACTGACGTGAGTTTCATTTTATTTTGTTCATAATGTAACGATAGTAACAGAAATTTGTGAATGTTGTTAATTTTAGTAAATGATTTTTATTTATATTACATTAGGTTGCTCCTGAAGATGATTAAATGTATTGATCGAAACCGGTAGAGCTAAAATTAAAAGAATCCATCTATAAATACACACGTTTTATTGCATTTACATTTAAAAAATTGGTCGTGACCTTCATATAACCTTGAAAATACGGTCAATGTCAAGGTCAAAAAATGTTATCGATATATGGACAGAAGAACATTTGGTTTATTTTTATGTAAAATATTTTATTGTTTTCTTTTTTTGTTAAATAACGATAAATGTTAATAAAAAAGTATAAATAAAACGAATTGTTTGAAATTGCAATCAATATATTTATTGTAAATACTTCTTTTCATATAATATGTTCATATTTATATATTTACACAATTCGAAAAATATATTAAAAACGGATGCCAGAAAGCGCATCAAAGCAACAAACTATATAAAGTACATAAAACTATTCAAAAAAAAAAATAATAAACATCCAAACACATTCATTCTTCAAAGGGGGTTGTATAACAATGCGATGATAATGGAATAAAACCCAAAAACGTAAAATTGCGGGAACAGAAATAGACTTTCAATACCTTTACTACATGCAATATATGTTTATATATTGAGCAAAGGCGATCGTTGGTTTAACCCAAATTTTGTTGATTTCGTTAATCCTCGGTTTTGCTAACTCTTGGATATAACTAAAAAAAATTAAATAAATAAATAATTTTTTTTGATCATTTGTTACTAACTCCAAGCAAGTTTCTAGGTATGTATCCTTCTTTATCACCCAACCTCGACCACCACCATTCCCGTTCACTTTCATCTCCTTTTCTAAGCACAGTCAATTGTTGACCAGCTGTAAAACTTAATTCGTCCGGTTGTTGTGCCATATAATCGAAAACTGCGTAAACTATTCCTCCCGAAAGAATTCCAAGTTTTTCTTGAACACCTAAATAACAAAAATTTAAAAAAAAAATAATTAAAAAACTCAAAAACTTACTATAAAGATATTCAGAGCATCCGTCAAATCCTTCTTCGTCCTCTTCGCATTTTTCGGCAGCCGTTTCATGATCGCTAAGGGTTGTAGCAAAAATACACGCACCATGTTCAACTAAAAATTTAACCATCGCAACGTTATTACAACTAGCAGCACAGTGTAAAGGTGTCCATCCGTCACTATCTTGAGCGTTAACATCGCACCCAAATTCAACTAGGAACATAACGATTTCAAGATGACCCGCACAAATAGCATTGTGTAAAGCGGTGATCCCTTCGTCATTAGCCGCGCTTGGATTAGTTACTTGAGAAGCGGTTTTCTTCACCAACTCCAATTCACCTTCCAAGCTAGCATCCAATAAAAGTGCCAACGGATCGAAACTCACGCGTCTTGATAAATTAGGTTTTGCGGTTTGTTTTAAATTGCCCTTTTTACACCTTCGGACGACCCCTTCAATAATTGGTTTCGTATCTTTGATGTCTTTAATTTCGTTGTCTTCGATTGAAGATTTATCGGTTTCGTCTGTGGGGAGTTTATCTTTAATAATTTCTGACGGGTGATTCTCGAGGTTTTCTGATTTTTGATGATTTTGGTTGTCTTGAATTATTTGTGGGTCGTAATTAAACGACGGTGGTATTTCGATTCTACGCGTGTTTAAATTAATTCCGTTTAGTTTGTTATAAGAATTTACCGTTCTTAATTTCGGTTGTTCGGTTAAAGCTTGTTTTTTAATTGTTAAAGGTTTTGCTTTTATAATCGGCATGTTATCGTTATTTCCCGAGTAATTACTCATTAAAACTGACGAAGAAAAACTTTTTTGCAACTGATTCATTTGATTACTAACTGTTGGAGTATTAAATTTCGGTTTTTGGCCCAAATTTTGTTTGTCATCTGGTGGGTCCGAAATTGGTAGTGGAGGTGGTTGAAGGTTTTCGTCGTTCGATAGTTGTGTTTGTCTTGGTGGTGGTTTTATAGCGGGTTTTGGGGGAAGAGCAGGTTTCGATTTATCAACGTTTATTTCGGGGGTACTATTCGGTGTACTTGTTGATTGAGGTGGGGATAAAGCTAAGGATTGAGAAAATGTATTTACAGGAGGTGATGATATTTGTTTGTGATTTCCACTAAGAGTTTGTGGTTCAACAGGTTGCACTTTTATTGATGAAGTTTGATAAATATTCGATAATTTTCCATTGTTATGTACAGAAGTGGGCGCCACACTACTTATTGGTTTCTAAAAAAAATTATTAAAATTAAATTAATCTAAAATAAATTAAAATAACTTACTTGATATGAAGGAACTAAAGAATTATTTACACTAGTATTAACTGGTCCATTAGTTAATTGATTCCTTTCAAACCCATCTTTTTCCCCATTTTTCCTATTAATCAGATCCGTTTGACTAACAGGAGTTGCAATACTTTTATTGAGTATATTTAGAGGAGCACTATGCACAGTTACAGCAAAAGGAGATTGCAAAGTTCCATTCACCAATTGAGTTTGGACACCATCATTCTTTACATCCGCCTCGTTTTGATTTAAAATTTCCGTTCCTTCCTGCTTGACTCCTCCTGCTCGATTAGGAACGATGTTCACCGTAAATTTGGTGTTATACGGCAAGGTTTGGTACTTTGGATCCGATTTAGATACCGCAAAATCCTTCAATAAATCACTATCCTCTTGCTTATTTAATTTGTTCGGATTGGAATCGTGATGATTTTCAGTAAAGTGCTGGTGCTCTACATCAGCTTTGATGTGATTCGTTTGTTGTTGGTAAGCAGGATGATAATTTGTGTTCTAAAAGTGTAATTTTAAAGAGTTAAATAAAAAGGACTTATTAAAATTTATTTACATCGACGCTTCCGGTTCTAACATTATTTCGAGATTGTTGACTTTGTTGCAAAGGAACATGATTATAAGGCTCTACAGCGGCTATATTTGTCCTGTTTAATCCATTGGGGGGATGACCAGTAGGATGTTGCGGTTTTCTTGGATAAGGTGGACTATTTTGATCATTGCCTGTTAGCCTGTTACAAAAAAAGAAATGGATTTAGTGAATAACAAATTGTTAAGTAGTTGCTAATTGTTTATAACATGTATATGTTATATTACAAGAACTTAATAATAATAATAAATCCTTTCAACCATACAATACATTATTATCAAGAAAAAATATATATACATATTTATATCAATAAAAAGCAGAATTAAAACAAAATAAATGTATGGCAGAAAAAAGTCCTATTACTGCTGTTACAACCTAGCTGTCATTGAATTTATTATCAGGCTCCTAAGCCACTCAACTCAACTGACTTGAGTGACTTAATGTATCTATCAAGTTATGAGGTATTTTGGAGTTTATATTATATAATACTTCAAACACTGTATACAGACGGAGCAAGAACTATCTGGAAATTTTATGCAACCTTAAACCACTCTTGAAACATTCCCAGAGATAGTAATTATAAAGACTTGACTATACACAGATTTGTCTTGATAGAAACATGATAATAACTTGATAACTCATGTTACCCACAAGCTGACAAACGCTAGAAAAGATGTAAGAAGGCTGGAAGTACAACATCTCATACTCCCAACAAGTTCGCAGAGTTCAAAATGATGAAGAGGAGTTTCGAAATGTAATAGCTCATGCTGCCAACAAGTTGACAGACTCTAGAAACGAAGTAAAAGGCTGGAGGTAAAATACCTCATGCTGCTAACCAGTTGGCAGACTCTAGAAACGAAGTAGAAGGCTGAAGATACAATACCTTATGCTGCCAACAAGTTGGCAGACTTCAAAATGATGAATATGAGTTTGGAGATGTAATAGCTCACGCTGCCAATAAGTTGGCAGACTCTAGAATCATAGTAAAACGCTAGAGGTATAATAGCTCATACTGCCAACAAGTTGGAGGACTCTAGGAACAAAGTAGAAGGCTGGAGGTATAATATTAATGCTGCCAACAAGTTGACAAACTCTAGAAACGAAGTAGAAGGCTGGAGATACAATACTTCATGCTGCTAACAAGTTGGCAAAGTTCAAAATGATGAATTGGAGTTTGAAGATGTAATAACTCATGCTGCCAACAAGTTGGCAGACTCTAGAAACGAAGTAGAAGGCTAGAGATATAATAGCTCATGCTGCCAACAAGTTGGCAGACTCTAGAATCAAAGTAGAACGCTGGAGGTATAATAGCTCATGCTGCCAACTAGTTGGTAGACTCTAGGAACAAAGTAGAAGGCTGGAGGTATAATATTAATGCTGCCAACAAGTTGACAAACTCTAGAAACGAAGTAGAAAGCTGGAGATACAATACTTCATGCTGCTAACAAGTTGGCAAAGTTCAAAATGATGAATTGGAGTTTGAAGATGTAATAACTCATGCTGCCAACAAGTTGGCAGACTCTAGAAACGAAGTAGAAGGCTAGAGATATAATAGCTCATGCTGCCAACAAGTTGGCAGACTCTAGAATCAAAGTAGAACGCTGGAGGTATAATAGCTCATGCTGCCAACTAGTTGGTAGACTCTAGGAACAAAGTAGAAGGCTGGAGGTATAATATTAATGCTGCCAACAAGTTGACAAACTCTAGAAACGAAGTAGAAAGCTGGAGATACAATACTTCATGCTGCTAACAAGTTGGCAAAGTTCAAAATGATGAATTGGAGTTTGAGGATGTAATAACTCATGCTGCCAACAAGTTGGCAGACTCTAGAAACAAAGTAGAAGGCTAGAACTGTAATAGCTCATGCTGCCAACAAGTTGGTAGACTCTAGAAACAAAGTAGAAGGCTAGAACTGTAATAGCTCATGCTGCCAACAAGTTGGCAGACTCTGGAATCAAAGTAGAAAGCTGGAGGTATAATAGCTCATGCTGCCAACAAGTTGACAGACTCTAGAAGCGAAGTAAAAGGCTGGAGGTAAACTACCTCATGCTTCTAACCAGTTGGCCGACTCTAGAAACGAAGTAGAAGGCTGAAGGTACAATTCCTTACGCTGCCAACAAGTTGGCAGACTTCAAAATGATGAATATGAGTTTGGAGATGTAATAGCTCACGCTGCCAACAAGTTGGCAGACTCTACAATCATAGTAAAACGCTAGAGGTATAATAGCTCATACTGCCAACAAGTTGGAGGACTCTAGGAACAAAGTAGAAGGCTGGAGGTATAATATTAATGCTGCCAACAAGTTGACAAACTCTAGAAACGAAGTAGAAGGCTGGAGATACAATACTTCATGCTGCTAACAAGTTGGCAAAGTTCAAAATGATGAATTGGAGTTTGAAGATGTAATAACTCGTGCTGCCAACAAGTTGGCAGACTCTAGAAACGAAGTAGAAGGCTAGAGATATAATAGCTCATGCTGCCAACAAGTTGGCAGAATCTATAATCATAGTAGAACGCTAGAGGTATAATAGCTCATACTGCCAACAAGTTGGAGGACTCTAGGAACAAAGTAGAAGGCTGGAGGTATAATATTCATGCTGCCAAGAAGTTGACATACTCTAGAAACGAAGTAGAAGGCTGGAGATATAATACCTCATGCTGCTAACAAGATGGTAGATTCTAGAAACGAAGTAGAAGGCTGGAGGTATAATATTAATGCTGCCAACAAGTTGACAAACTCTAGAAACGAAGTAGAAAGCTGGAGATACAATACTTCATGCTGCTAACAAGTTGGCAAAGTTCAAAATGATGAATTGGAGTTTGAGGATGTAATAGCTCATGCTGCCAACAAGTTGGCAGAATCTATAATCATAGTAGAATGCTAGAGGTATAATAGCTCATACTGCCAACAAGTTTGAGGACTCTAGGAACAAAGTAGAAGGCTGGAGGTATAATATTCATGCTGCCAAGAAGTTGACATACTCTAGAAACGAAGTAGAAGGCTGGAGGTATAATACCTCATGCTGCTAACAAGATGGTAGATTCTAGAAACGAAGTAGAAAGCTGAAGATGTAATAATTCATGCTGCCAACAAGTTGGACAACTCTACAGGGTGTATCAGGTATGAGTAGAAAAAATTTGAGGGGTTATAGGTCTCCTCTTTCTGAATAAAAAATTCTTATAACGCAATGTCCCACTCTTTATCCTTCTTAAGATATGATACGATAAAGTGAAAGGTTCACAAGTTTGAGTACTACTGGTTAATGAATTATACTAAGCAGGCTTTGCTTTGCAATTTGTAATTTATTTCTAGTTTTGTAATTTTGTTGTTTTTAATATAATAAGCAAGTTTGTTTATTAAAACCTAAATTTTTGTAAATTTTCACATTGAAGAGTGATAAAATTTATTCGTATAAAGTAAACAACCTCTAAAAAGATATCTCAAAAATGACTTTTATGTGTCGAATTAAAACTATATACATATGCAAAGCCTGCTTAGTAATTCTTTATACAACAGTACTTAAACTTTCAAACCCTTAACTC